CGCCCTAATAGCAGAAGTAGGCATTTTTGATTTAATTCTAGCTCCTTTTGTTTAATTAATGTTTTACCATTTGTTATCACCAGGTTCATCAGGTTCAGCAAAGTAGTCTACAAAAAAGTAATACATCCCATGTTCTCGCGATTTTGTGTTCATAATTATTTTTTGTGGTCTATTTGTAAAGACAATGTTATTGTATTTAATTTAGTTAATAGCAATATTTTGAATGTAATAAATTATTATTTATACAAATTAAACAATTATTTGGATTGAGATTTGAATTATTTTTAAATTATTTCGTTAATAAGTATCCATAAATGTTAACTGTACTGTAAGTTGCTTGCTATTATGTTACATAGGGTATTTATGAAGTAACCATAACAGTTTAATTTATTAAATTTACCAATTGCCATTTATAAGGAAACATAAAATAATAAAGCAATGAATGTTAAAATATTCATCAATAGATCGTGTATTGTGAGTACAGCGCAAACTTACAATCAACTTATACTTTGCTATACTTAATTATAAGTTATAATCATAATCTTGACTCTTATAGATATTTATTTTAATTATAATAAAATATAGATTAATAAATACTAATTTTATAAATAATACCCGTATTATAACCTGCTAACTTTAACACGCTTAAAAAGTAATTATTAAAAAACTGATCAAGATCATTTAGTGAACCAACTCCTCGACCAGTTTGACCGCCTTCTCGAGTCGATCCTCAGCCCATATGCGGGACGAAGCGGTCATCAATCGCTGCTTCAGGCGCTCGTCGCCCAACAACTGGTCGATCGCGTCCAACAACTGAGTGCCGTCGAGAGCCCAGGGATCCAGACGTAGGCCAAAGCCCATGTCCTGCACGCGCTGGGCGTTATCCAACTGATCCATAATGAATGGCAACGCGATCACCGGTTTGCCAAAACTGAACGCCTCGGTCACGACCGTAGTGTCGCCATCGGTCACCACCAGATCCACCACTTCGACCACCCGTCTGGACGGTAGACCTGCGTCGGCCGCAATCATATTGTCGGCCAACTGGTACTCATCTGCAAAGTAACCCTTGGACACGATGAAGAGGTGCGGCGATCGGCCGAGAGTGTCGATCAGACGCTGCATAAAGCGGATGTGAGCGGTGCCGACGGCGCCCATCGACACGTACACCAACTTCTTGTTGGGATTGTAGTCCCACTTATGGATGGCCTCGAGTGCCGGTCCGGCGATACTCTCGTCGCGTATGACAAACGAGTCGACGCGATAGACGTGGCGTTTGGCGACCTGACGCTCATCGCCCGGGTATTCGAGCTCCAGGGGGTAGGCGTAGAGGTTGAGGTACGGCGAGCCGTCCATTATGTACATGAATGGCGTACGGCTGACGGCCAGCACACCGTTGACCAGTTTGCGGCCGTTTTGATACACCGACTCGTATAGCCATTTATAGATGGGTGTCATTAAGTCGGTTGTCTCCGCCGACAGACCTGTCAATACGAGTCAGCATTTAATTATGTATTATATTAAGTGAGTTGAGAATTTACCTAGATACGGTGGCGGCAGATCCTGGTCGTCCATTATGGCCAATGGGCTGCCGTCGTAGAGCCAAACCCACGGCTTATTCGTCTCGAAGACAGAGGCGTAGCCCATAGTGTCCTCGAGTATGAAAAGGTCGGGTTTGTATTTGTCGATAACTGGTCTCAATTGATCGCTTTTGTTGACCATTCGCCGATAGCCCCAAACGTGATCCATGGCCACCCGGGCCGCGAACATGGTCATGTCCCACAACCAGGTCACTTTGGGCACAAACAGGTCGAACAACTGGTGGTACTTAACGGCGTCCGACTCTTTGCGTTTATCTACTTTATTGAGTTGATTGAGATCGATGTCAATTACCTCGATGTTAAACTTGTAGTCTTTGTACAGCGATTGCATCATATAATCGACAATAATAGTGACCGAATGACCCCTATCTACCAGCTTCTGGGCTAACCCGACACCCGGTGTGATCTGATTAGTGAAGTCCATTGGTATAAAAATTATGTTTAATTTCTTTTTGTCTCCCATTTTGTGGTCACAAATTGATTTACGGCCAAAGACTTTACACTAAACTTATTATTATAGTTTAATTATAATTAAATTTTTTATTTATTGAAATTTGGTTTATTTAGTTTGTTATAAGTGGCAAAACTATTTGTAAAATAAAATTTAGTTGTTATTGATTAACAGGAAAAGATACAAGCAAAAAATGTTTTAATATTGTTTATTTCATTTGTTTTAACCTTTATGAACTACATTTAATTAAAATTAAAGCTCTCTCTCTCTCTCTCTCTCTCTCTCTCTCGGATATAATTCTAAAAATACCGGATTTGTGTTATTTCCTAATTTATTTTATTTTAAAAAAGTGCAAAAAACTGAATTTTATTCATTGAAAATTTTTTAATACAAAGTTTTATCTTAACCTTATTTATTTTTAATTATGTAACTAATAATTATTTCATTTTATAAAATTTTAGTTTAATAATTACATAAAAATCAGATTAAACTTAAATAATTTGATAAATATATAAAATTAAAATAAGCTTAAGCAATTGCCAATTTGCTAATTAATAACTATTTTAATTATTAAAAAATTAATAAACAATAATATAAAAATAGAAAAACATTTCCAATTAATATTCAATGATTTATACGTTTTGAATGATAAACACATTTCAAATAATCCTTGAGAATAAAACGCTAGAAAAAAAACTATTATTTATTTTTTACTAAATTTACAATATATTTCTGTATTTAAAGTCTGATAATTATTAAAATGTGTTTCAATTCACACCATTTGTACAGAAAATATTAGAGTAAATATAGTAAATCACATACTTCAAAATAGATACAAATATACCTATACTTAATGTGTGACACAAATCAATACAAAATACGTACAAAACCTCTTAATATTCAGCTAAATGTCTTATAAATTAATTGTTTGCATAACAATAATAATACTGATTGACAGCATATTATTGCTAAACACAGTCGTCGGCTATAATGAGTGCAATCGACGGCATATCGAGGACTCGGAGACGGTATGCGTTTGTAATGCCACACATTGTGACCAATTTCCGCCACTTTCGCGACCAAAAATTGGTTACATATCTGTGTTTGAGAGCAACCGAAACGGCGATCGTTTCAAAGAGTCGGCGCTTAAATTCAAGCCCTTTTACGGTAACATTAATTGCGTTAAAAATCATTGCCTAAAAAAGTCGGCCAAAGACTCGCAGCTGACTATAACGGTGGACAAGAATCGCAAATACCAGAAGATATACGGCTTCGGCGGTGCGTTCACCGATTCGGCCGGTTATATGTTGTCGTCGGTGGACCCGGCGTTGGCCGCCGCCGTCATCGACAGCTACTACTCGGCCACAGGTATTGAGTTCTCGTTCGGTAGGGTTCCCATCGGCGGCACTGACTATTCCCTCCGTCCCTACACTTACGCCGACGCCTATAATG